CCTCCCAACTTCCTCAGTTGCTCCAGAGATTAGTTACCCGGGATGTTAGAAATATTTACAGGTTGAAACTCTCTGAACTGGGATTCCCTGGCCAGCAACATCCATGGTCCAGCACGGCTTTTGCAGGATCAGAGAGTCCCGCTGGAGGACCAGCAGTAAGGATCCCTGCAGGGCTGGTGGAGCAGTGGGCTGCCCAGCGGCCTCCCAACTTCCTCAGTTGCTCCAGAGATTAGTTACCCGGGATGTTAGAAATATTTACAGGTTGAAACTCTCTGAACTGGGATTCCCTGGCCAGCAACATCCATGGTCCAGCACGGCTTTTGCAGGATCAGAGAGTCCCGCTGGAGGACCAGCAGTAAGGATCCCTGCAGGGCTGGTGGAGCAGTGGGCTGCCCAGCGGATTCAGGAGGCTCAGAGTGTGGCTGCCTGGTAGGGTTAGGAGCCATGGTAGCTCAGCAGGGCAGAAGTCGAGGCACGTGACTGTCCTACAGGACTTGGAACCCCAGCGTGGCACACGTGGCTGCCTAGCAGGACCCAGAGCTCCAGGGTGGTACGTGTGGCTGCCCGGTGGGATCCGGAGTCCCAGCAGCGATGGCTGCCTAGTGGGGTTGGGAGGGAAGTGGGACCAGCAGGAAGTGGGGAGCTGGCTGGAAGGCCAGTGGGCCGGGCCGGGGAGAGGGAGGGGGCGATGGCAGGGTTCCAGCAATGACCTTCCCTGGTGTGGCAAAATCCCTCATCTGGGACCAGTCAAATTCCGAGGGCGCAGGACCAGGGAAGTCCAACCTGCACCTTATTTGCTGTCAGAATTCGTCTCGCTTCGACTTCAGCATTCTCACCTGACGCAGATTTTGATGTAAACTGAACGCAGGGCTCCCTCTGGCTTCCGAGCTAAAAATGTTGCAGAAGAAGAAAAATATTGGTGGGGGGTAAGTTTGTTTGGTAAAAGACACCAAAATGCAGCAACTCGGCACTTTCATCGAAGAGGTCCTAGAATGGGGGTGAAAGAAATCCCAAAGGAACCAACCACTCTCAGGGATCCCAGCACATGCGCTAAAAGGCAGCACTGCCGACTCTCATAGCAAGTCTTACGATTTTTGATGTTTCCTAAAGCCATGGCTCCTGGAAACAAAAGATCACACGAGAATCTCAGCTTTCACAGAGCACAAAAGTCCATTTCTAGACCTTGCGGTTGTGCAGAAGAGCTTTAAAGAACTGAAAGGTTCAGAAACCAGAAGGCAAAGCAGAAGCCAACATGTATTATTAAAAAAAAACAAAACAAAACAAAAAACTCATGAAATTAAGCAGGTGTCATTGTTTTGAGGAGATACAACCAATGTTCCATCTGATTTTTTCCATCCAGGTGCAGAATGAATTTTGTTATGTGCACCCAGGCCTGTGCAGATGTGAACCACTCGTAGAAACACTTGCAGCTGGGTGGTATGTGAATCTCTCCTGGGTGGCTGTCCAAGCGCTCGGCTTACTGGGAACATTGGACATTGTTAACGGGTTTTGAGTGCTTGCGTTTGGCAATAGTGAAGTAGCCTCTCCCACAGAAACATGGTTTCTTGTTATCAGGAGATACACAGGCCAAAATCAGAAGCGGGGATCTCAACTCTCTGGAATTTTCAAAAGTTCAAAACGTGATCCAAAACTCTTGGCTGGCCCCATTCTCTCCAATAGGCCGAGGCAAAATACTGGCTTTAAGGCCACATCTATGCTTACCACACCAGTGATCAATCTCCTGGCGTTCGATTTAGCAGGTCTAGTAAGGACCAGATAAATCAAACACTGAGAGGTCCCTGGTTGATGCTGCTCTTGTTGACACCCTGCTGTGGGGATGGCGCCAAGCTTGGCTTCAGGCACTTCAGTTCCAGCTACATTATTTACGTAGCTGGAGCCATAAGCCGACCTTCTGGATCTAGTGTAGACCTACCGTAAATCTCATTGGCATAGGCTACACCTATCCCATGGGCTGGTGGCATGATTCCTCAGGGGACACCTACTCGGGCCGGCTCCCCTCTAGCTAGTGTGAGCGTAAATAGTTGTGTAGCTGCAGTCACGTGGGCTGCTGCAGGGGCACGGTTTAGCTGTGCTGCATACAAACCTGCCCGAATCTGGAGGGTCCAAACTTAGCACCACTAAGCCACTCCTCCAGCTACCTCACTATTTATACTCACACTAGCGAGGTGAGTGCGTGGACCTAGCTTGTAGTGTGGACGTAGCCTGACACCTGGGCTGTGTCTAAACTACACCCCTCTGTCGGCAAAGGGATGTAGATTAGATACATCAAAAGTGCAAATGAAGCTGGGATTTAAATATCCCATGCTTCATTTGCATAATGGTGACTGCGTTTTTTTCGTAAAGGGGTTTTTTCAAAAAAACCCAGCAGTTTAGATGGGGATCTTTCGAAAATAATACCCTTTTTCGAAAGATCCTGTAAACCTCATTTTTTGAGGAGTATGGGATCATTTGGAAAAGGGTTTTATTTTTGATAGATCCCCATCGAAACTGCTGTGTTTTTTTCGAAAAAGCCCTGTTTTGAAAAAAAGTGGCAGCCGCCATTATGCAAATGAAGCATGGGATATTTAAATCCTGGCTTCATTTTCAATATCAACGTGCCTAATCTACATCCCTCTGCCAACAGAGCGGTGTAGTTTAGACACACCTCTGGATCTCAGTTGAAATCTCTAAGCCAGGGCTACTCAACTTTGGAAGCCCCACGGGCCACAGTGATACTCACTACACATGCCGAGGGCTGCAAGTGACATGTGGTTGCATGTACATGCAAATATAAATGCAAATATATGAAAATAGCTTCTTTCACACCGACGGGCATGAATACAAAGATTAAGGCAAGACTACACAACACGCAGTCCCCATTGAAGTCGATTCTGTTGATATAAATAAAATGCAATATTTACCTGATTACCACCCATATGACAGCACTTTTAATGAGCAATGACAGTCCAGGAATTTAACTACTAACACACATATCAACAGAAGACCATAATATTGACGACTTTTGTGTTTTAGCTCCCACCCACGGGCCACATGTTGAGTAGCACTTGTCTAGTGCTGTTCTAAGGCTACATCTATACTGCGCATTGTTGCGCAAGAAGATATGCAAATGAGGTGTGGGGATGAATATTGCCACACCTCATTTGCATACCTAATGAGCTGCCATTTTTGCAGAAGGGGGTTTTGAACAGGAGCCGCTCTGCCGCTTATTTTCAGGAAAAGACAGCTCCTTCTTGCACAAAACTCCCTTCTGTAAAAATGGTGGCTTATTAGATATGCAAATGAGGTGCGGCGATATTTATCCCCACACCTCATTTGCATATCTTCTTGCACAACAATGCACAGTGTAGAAATAGCCTAAAGGCAATAACTCTAGTCTAGCTTAGTCCTTCCACTTGCTGCCTTCTGTGGTCCTTGTCTTAACGGATTAATGTCTTAATCCTTGTGTAGGGGTCTGGGTGACGAGCACAAACCCAATGTAATCAGTCAGAAGGTAACATACCACCCTCGGCTTCGCTGACAGACACCTTCAGGTCAAACTTCTTGCACTGAGATGTATCCTCTGGTATCTTTGCGTTGTACACAGTCACCACCGTCAAGGTGCCTTGTCCGATGCCTCTCGCTCTCACAACAAAGTCTTTGTTCAGCCTCGTCTGAAAAGAACCTACAATCAGATCGGGCAGCGCTCGCATTTCAATGAAACAGGCCATACAGATAGAAATCTTTCAGGCTGCTCTCTATAGACCACACAGCTGTATTTCCGAAAAAAACTTTGCTTATGTCCACACTGCAATCGCGTTCTTTCGAAAGAAAATCGAAAAAACAGAGAGACTTTTCTGACATTGGTAAACCTCTTTCTACGAGGAAAAAGCCTTTTTCGGAAAGAGCTCTTCCGGAAAACGGTGTGTGTGGACGAGGAAGAGGGAGTTCTTTCACCAGAAAAAGGAAAAGGCCCAGGTACTCTGGTGGCCACTCTGCCCATAGTAATCACAGTTTACATGCAAGAGAGCATCATTCAGTCTGGACGCAACCTTTCGAAAAAGCAGATCGCTTCTTCGATTCGCTTCCACGTTGTAGGTGCTCTCTTTTGGAAGAAGATTTTTTGGAAGATCTCTTCCGGAAAAGCTTCTTCCAAAAGAAGCCTGCAGTCTAGACATCGCGCCAGAGCAGGGGCCAGAGTGACCTAGACAAATTGGAGGGTAGGGCCAAAAGAAATCTGATGTGGTTCAACGAGGACAAGTGCAGAGTCCTGCCCTTGGGATGGAAGAATCCCAAGCATGGTAACAGGCTGGCTAAGCCGCAGAAAAAAGAGAGCAGGAAGATGAGTGGCTGTGGCCGTGTCGGCGCTCAGGAAGCAGCCCCAAGGGGTCTACTGGGATCACCCCAATAGGGTGTTTTATGCTCAGCTCAGCTCATAAAAATAGAGTGTTTTATGCCGTGCTTATTCCCTGATAGTCACTAGATAGACCCACCTAGGTCCGGCTTTGCCCATCAAGATGAGATGGGCAGAGAAAGGCCAGGGAAATGGGATCCAGATCAAAGTTAAGATCAGGTTCGAGGACAACTACCCACTGGGTGGCCTCCTTCATCTCAGTGGGCCACAGGGTTGGTGTAATCAGGACGGTCTCCTCGGCTAGGATGGTTTTACTCATGACACCTGCGCCCCTAGAACGTGTGGGAGGTGCCGACTGAACCGGGGCAGCGCTGTGATTGGCTGCAGAGGTTGCGCCCAGCTTTCCCGGTCAGTGTTGCGGGCCATCAGCATGCACCTCAGTGTTCGGTGAGTGTCACTTGAGTCACACTGGCAGGGAAAAAACCCTGCATGTGGGCAGCAGTGAACAAAACATCTCGTAGGCCAGACCCAGACCCCCAAAGGGCTGCATGCTGCCCTCAGGCTACAGTTTGCCCAGCGCTGTTCCAGTGCGCGGTCAGGAAGGGGCACCCAGTCGGATGGGTGGCAGCAGGAGAAACCAGTACCTCCGTCGATCTGGTCACCATCGCGTTCTCGTGCTCAATCCTGTAAGTGATAGATTTAGTGCGGCCAGGCAGAAGAATAGACACGTCCAAATTCAGCTCTTTGCGCAGGGGGGCGTCGACCTGGTACTGCGCGAGAGCCTGGAACACCATGATGATTGCCTAGAAGACCAGGGAAAAGAGAAGAGAGTCTCGCCACCTTGTCCTCTTACCACAAACCAAGAGCCTGAAGCCCCCTTGATTCTGAATTACAGCAGTGGCCCATGAATGAGACTGGAACCCAACCCTGACGGTTTAATGGAAGAGACCTCAGGAACTCATTGAATGCCCCTGCCCAAAGCAGGACCAACCCCAATTCAATTCCCAGCCCAAGCTGGGACTTAAAAACCTAGGGAACCCATCCCAGTGCTCCCCCACCCTCCCAGGGAAATAGTTTTCCCTAATATCCAACCTGGACCTTCCCTACTGTAACTTGAGCCCACTGCTCCTTGTCCTGCCATCGGCCACCCCTGAGAACAGCCTCTCTCCATCCTCTTTGGAACCCTCCTCCAGGGAGTTGAAGGCTGCTCTCAAATCCCCCCTCACTCGTCTCTTCTGCAGACTAAACCAGCCCAAACCCCTCAGTCTCTCCTCATAGGTCATGTGCTCCAGACTCCTAATCATTTTGGTTGTCCTCTATTGGATCCTCTCCAATGTGTCCACATCCTTTCTGTAATGGGGGACCCAGAACTGGATGCAAAACTCTAGATGTGACCTCACCAGAGCCGAATAAAGGGAATAGTCACTAACTGGCAATGCTCCTCCTACTGCAATCTAATATTCCATTCGCCTTCTTGGCTGCAAGGGCCCATTGCTGACTCATATCCAGCTTCTCATCCATTATAATCCCCAGGTCTTTTTCTGACAAACTGCAGCTTAGCCAGTCAGTCCCCAGCCTGTAGCTGTGTTTGGGATTCTTCTGTCTCAAGGGCAGGACTCTACACTTGTCCTTGTTGAACCTCCTCAGATTTCTTTTGGTCCAGTCCTCCAATTTGTCTGGGTCACTCTGGACTCTATCCCTGCCCTCCAGTGTAGCTACCCCTCCTCTAGCTTAGAGTCTTCTGCAAACTTGCTGAGGGCGCAACCCATTCCCTCCTCCAACATTTTCATCAATGGCCTGAACAAAACCTTCCTTAGAACCAGAACTAAATTGAACGGGAACTGAAACTATAACAACAGTCCTGTGGCACCTTAAAGATTTATCTGGGCATAAGCTCCTGCAGGCAAAAACCCTCTTCATCAGATACCTGCCAGCTTTCTCCCAGGCCTAGCCTGGGAGCAGGAGGGCCACGCAAGCTGTCTACCAGATTCTCCTTGGGGCCACACCTTCTGGTTTACCTAGTTCGAACTAGCGGAGTGCTAGTGTAGTGCCTATTTACCTACTTCGAACTAACTTTGTAGTGTAGACATACCCTTATAGTTTTAGCCTTCACAGCCTCCTGTGGCAAGGAGTTCCACAGGTTGACTATTTGCTTTGTGAAGAAGAACTTTCGCTTATTAGTCTGAAGCCTGCTACCCATTCATTTCATTTGGTGTCCTCTAGTCCTTCTATTATGGGAACTAATGAAGAACATTTCTTTATGCACCCTCACCACACCACTCATGATTTTATAGACTTCTATCATACCCCTTCTTTTCTAAGCTGAGAAGTCCCAGTCTCTTTAGCCTCTCTTCATATGGGACCTGTTTCAAACCCCTCATCATTTTAGTTGCCCTTTTCTGAACCCTTTCCAAGGCCTTTTGAGGTGAGGAGACCACATCTGCACACAGTACTGAAGATATGGCGTACCATAGTTTTATACTTCCCCTCCTCCTTCTTCCCCTGGCTTTCCCCTTCCAGCGCCCTCCTCCCAGGTTTCTCCCTCCCCTCTCCAAACCTCTCTCTTCCCCTCTCCCACCTCCTTTTCCCAGTCTCCCCAGAGGTTAATCTCCCCCTCCCCCCAGTTTTGTTAAATAAAGAGAGTTTCTATTTTTGACCACACGTGTCCTTTATTTTGTACATCAGGAAGGGGGGCTAGGGAGGGGTAACTGGAAGGAGGTGAGGGAGGAATGGGGTACGAGCCCCCAATGGGGAGGACTGGGGTGGCTCTGCGGGCTCCTCGGGGTGGAAGCTCTCCTGCAGGGTCTCCTGGATCCTGACACCCCCCGATTGACTCCCCCGGATGGCAGCCTGTGGCAAGTGCAGCTGGGCTGATGGCCGAGTGCTGTGATGTGCCTAATGGAGGCTCTCAGGGCACTCCAAGACAGGACTGCTTTGCTGTCCCTCATCGAGGTGGACAAGCAAGTGGGGAACCCTGAGAACTGTCTGTCCGGGGTGGGGGTCGGGTCCCTTTAAGCACAGCCCTCGGCTAGCCTGAGGCAGCAGCTCCACACTCTAAGTCCTAACCTGATGCCCTGCCAGCACCTGTTTTGGCCAGCCTTAACTTCAGTTCAGGGTCCACTCAATGTGAACATGCTAGTTCGAATTAGTTTTTAGGTCTAGATGCACTAGTTCAAATTAGCTTATTTTGAATTAACTAATTTGAACTAAGTTAGTTCGAATTAGTGCTGTAGTGTAGACATACCCTAACTAATTGAACTACTTAGAACTATTTACTGTACTAAGAGTACGGGAACCATTAATGCTCCAATGACTGTCACGGGCAGTAAGAAGGAACTGAGGTGAGGGAGCGCCGGCAGGGGGACTTATGCCCCCCCCCTGCAGGGCCACTCTGGAAGACGCGGTGCACACACCTAATTCGAATGGACATGAGCAACCACTCAAAGGAGAAATTCATGTTGCCAGTCTACACTGGCCTCTTCTGGAAGAGCTTTTGTACAAGAAGGCTTCTTCCTGATATGGAGTGTCAGAGTTCTCGCGCAAGAAGCCCTGATTTTCTACAGTACAACGTCAGTTTACTTGCGCAAGAACGCGTGGCCAGTGTAGACAGGCGGCATGTTTTTGCGCAAGAGCGGCCATTTTTGCGCAAGAACGTGCCAGTGTAGATACAGCCTTGGGGTGTTGGACTTTGCTCATAGTATTTCAGAAACCACTTTGTCAGCCTATACGTAGTCCAGCACAGTTAAAACACTGTAAAAAAAAACCATTTCTGCAATCATATGTGCATCTACAGATGTGCAAGGCTACCTAGTATATTTGATAACAGTACTCAAGAAGTCAGAAATGTTACAAGTTAAAAAATATATACAAAAATCACAACTATTTTCAGCACTTCAGACATTTAAATATTTCCTCTGAAGGAGAGAAGTGTTCTCTTCAAACCATTCCATGGCACCCTCTCGGCATTTACACTCTGTGCTTGCGAGTGGGGAAGCATTGCCTCTCAGAGGCGCCCAGGGGTGTGTGAATTTCCCAGGTTAGGGGCTTGAGCCGGTTCTGTGTGAAATGGACCCCTCGATAGAGAACCCGGCCCTGGTTGCCGCCGGGCCTACCCAGCAGAAGGGTTACACTAACTATGAGTCAACAGTGTGACACTGCTGCAAGAAAAGCAAACATGATTCTGGGAGGCATTAACAGGAGTGTTGTGAGCAAGACACGAGAAGTCAGTCTTTCACTCTGCTCTGTGCTGATTAGGCCTCACTTGGAGTATTGTGTCCAGTTCTGGGCACCACATTTCAAGAAAGATGTGGAGAAATTGGAGTAGATCCAGAGGAAGAGCCACAAGAATGATTCAAGGTCTAGAGAACATGAGCGACGAGGGAAGACTGAAAGAATTGGGCTTGTTGAGTTTGGAAAGGAGAAGACCGAGAGGGGACACGATAGCAGTTTTCATGTATCTAAACGGGGGTCCCAAGGATGAAAGGTGACTCATGGGCTGTAAATAACACCAGGGGGAAATGTGCTCTGGGACAGGCAGGGGTCTACCACTGTGTGAGTGAGTAGGAGAGCGGGCGTATGAGAATGCTAAAGAATGAGAAAAATGCCAACAACCCAGATCCAGTCCTCTCGGCATTTACAAACATTTCCTATTTCTGCAGCTTGCCCCCTCCCCGGTTCTGCTCCCTCTCCTCCCTGCAGCGACCTCTTCGCCAGACAGGTTCAGCCAAATCGGCAAAGCCAGAAACACAAAGCAGGGACAGAGGGATTCAGGGCGCTGGACTCACCCATGTTCCTTGGAAACCCCTCAACACCCAGCTCCACAACAACAGAATCCGGGGCCTCCCTGCGCCATAGCGATCCCCTCCGCCAGCTACAGCTGCCACGCGCCCGGGGCCAGCACCGTGCATGTGCCGCACACTCAGGGCAGGGCTGGCCCAGATCGTTCAGTGGGTGCACATAAATGCCCCGGCAGGTGCCATGGCACCCGCAGGAACTGCATTGGGGACCACTCCCTAATTCACTATTTTTCCCTTCCTTCCCCCACATCTCCTATTTATTTTGGAACTGGACTTTTAATACGCCAGTCATCTGAAGAAGTGGGTTGTACCCACAAAAACTCATGATACCTTCTACATGTTTTGTTAGTCTTTAAGGTGCTGCTGGACTATTCGTTGTTTTTTAAGTTTTTCTAGATGACTTATTGATGGCTCATTCTGTCCTGTATTTTTATAATTCTATGATTAATAGGTCTCAGAGCTCTGCTTTAAGCGAAACTGGAGTGGTTGCAGGGAAGTTCTACCACCTGTGTTTTACATGAGGTCAGAACTGATGCTTCTTTTGGACACTGGAAACTCTGAATTGATAGGACATTATCACAATCTGTTCACCAGACTCTTGATTTACCTATGCTGAAGTTCGCTGTCTGGTGAACCATATTTGGCCTACGGGCCAACTGTCACCCACCCTGGGTTTTCATGTCCACCTCCTGGACTAACACACAACTGTTCCCTACAAGTGTATTCTCCATCTCAAGGGATTGAGTGATGAGGTTTCCAGTCCTTCAATTGAGAGACCTTCCCTCAAAACATACTGTTACGTCAGACATCTGAACAGATTCACCAGCGATCATACTCACTTGAGTAGATCCGTACCCCCCTTCGTAGAATTTCTGCTCCGCCAGCCATCTGACGAGGGGACCAGCTTCTTCATACTTCTTCATGTGCAGCAAGGCCAGCAGAGCGTATGAGGTGGCCTCAATGCTGAAAGTGTGGGCGTTCGTGTCTTCCCAGCGATTTCTCTCTAAATGCCATCAAAGAAACAGAAACAGAGTGACACGTACTGGGACCCTCCGAGCAGCTCCAAATGGAAAGGGCCGCCTCCGGGGCCGTGCCCACGGAGAACACCGGGTGTGTGACAAACCCACGGCGATGCAGATATCCCTCACAAAATAGCACAGTGTAAGAGAAAGGACAACTGGTCTTGTGGTGAAGACAGTGGCTTGGCACCCAGGTTGGGGCTCTGTTCCCAGCTCTGTAACAGGCTATATTGGGAGATAAGATGCTTTATGAAATGGACTTATGGACACGAATATGCATAACTCAAAGATGCTTTACACAAATTGCCTCATGTGACCTATCAATCTTAGCCTGCTGGGTCTGGATATTTTGGTGACTGGATCATTCTTGTGTGTGGCATTAGACATATGGGGTATGGAATGGCTTATGTGCAAAGGAAAGCCATCAAGGGTGTTTCCAATGCTGGGAATGTCTCAGTGTCTGGCCAATCCTATGTAAACAGCCCCTTGTGTCCTTTAAGTCTGAGCAGTGGTGGGTCCTAGGAAGTCATGTGACCTCCCTAATTAGTGGGGACTGGCCAGGTAACTTCCCATGTAAAAGTGGATTAATGGGAAGCTTAGGAGTGTCTTTGTCTTTGGCTGGCGTGGCACAAGAGGATAACTAATGACCCCAGGGAAAAGGAGACTGCCCTGGTTTTGAAGGCGTGGCTGGAACAATAAGAGTTTTAGGATGAGTGTGTAACACGTTTGCACTGAGGTTTTAGTGTTAGAATTCTGTTATTTTTAGTTTGTAATCCACTCTGCTCGGCCTGTCTTCACTTGCAACCACTTAAATCCTACGGCTTGTACGTAATAAAATCACTTGTACTTACTATCAAGCCCAGTGTAAATAATTGTGACCTGGAGGAGCCATCAGTGTGTACATTCCCCCTTTGCTCTCAGGTTGAATCTGAGAAACCTCTTGTCGGACAGTAATGGACTGGAGGAGTGCTGATCAGCACCGAGTGACTAAGCGGTTAAACTCGGGTAGCGAGCAAGAGTGTTGGCCAGGGCACCAGAAGAACCGAGGGGCATGTGGTGCTGAAATCTGAATCATATAAAATTCTCTGCCTGCTTTCTTCGTGGGGCTCTCTTGCAGGCCCTCACCTTCTGCACTCAGAGTGCCGGAGTGGGGAACAACCCTGACAGAGACAGACAAATCGTAATGTGAAAGTAGGTGTCTTGTAGGTTGAGGGACAACATCCCGTTTTCTTTCTCTAATGACAGGATTATTGTTGCCAGTGTTACCACAGTAAAATGATGTTTCTTTAGATATCTGGCCAGTCTGCACAGATCCAAGATGGGTCTCCATCCTCCTGCCCTCTTGGGTGTTATAAAGTATCGGGAATAAAACCCCTTTCTCCTGTGCGGAGCTGGCATTGGTTCTATTGCTCTCATGGCAAGGAGCTTGTCTATCTCCTGTGGTAGGAGAATCTCATTGGAAGGGTCCCAGAAGAGAGACAGGGAAGGGGGCTGTGTTGGTGGAAAGGAGATGAACAGGGTGGAATATCCTTTGGAGGTTATCTCCAGAACCCACTTGTTGGACGTTATGAGTGTTCAGGATCAATGGGAGGGAAGCAGACTGTGACGAGACTGGTCGTGTTGAGAAATCGATGTGGCACCCTCGACCAACCTGTCCACATGCCTGTCTGGTGGTTGGTGGGTTGGGCGCGGCAGATCGGACCGAGACACTCTCCTCTTTCGTGGTCTTTGCCTATGCCTCAGATCGCAACCTCTCTGCTGCGAGGTGTATGTAGAGGTTCTGGACCGAGAGGTGTAGAACCAGTTTAGCTTTCCGTTGGGCCGTGGGACATACCCTCCCCAGATTTTCAGCGTTGCTATTGAATCTTTTAGAATGTGGAGGGATGCATCTGTGGATGAAGAGAATAACTTTTGTCCCTCAGGGGGCAAATCCTTAACAGCAGTTCTCCTTCACAGACAGTCGCTTCTCATTCTGTATGTTGGAAACTGATTGTTCCTTCCTAAGTGGAGCACTTTGCATTTGTCCTCGTTGAATTCCATCCTGTTAACCTCAGACCATGTCTTCAGTTTTTCCAGACCATTTTGAAGCACTTGCAACCCTGCCCAGCTTGGAAACTTATGCAAACTTTATAAGTGTACTCTTTATGCCAATATCTAAATCATTCATGAAAATACTGAACAGAGCCAGACCCCTGGAAACCCCACTTGTTATGCCCCTCCAGCATGACTGTGAACTGTTGATAACTACTATCTAACCAGTTATGCACCCACCTATTAGTTCCACGTAGGCTGTGTTCCCAGTTTTTTAGTGAGAAGATCATGTGAGGCAGTGTCAAAAAGCCTTAGTAAAGTCAAGATATACTACCTCTACCACCGGCCCCCATCCACAAGATTGGTCAAAGAAAGCCATCCAGTTGGAGTGACACAATTTATTTTTGAGAAATCATGCTCCCTGTGACCTATTGCCTTATTATCTTGACATGTATGCAAATTGATTCCTTAATCATTTAAAATCACCTAGAAAAGTTAGATGCCTGCAAGTCACCAGGGCCTGATGAAATGCATCCTAGAATATTCAAGGAGCTCATAGAGGAGGTATCTGAGCCTCTAGCTATCATCTTTGGAAAATCATGGGAGACAGGAGAGATTCCAGAAGACTGGAAAAGGGCAAATATAGTGCCCATCTATAAAAAGGGAAACAAGAACAACCCAGGAAACTAAAGACCAGTTAGTTTAACTTCTGTGCCAGGGAAGATAATGGAGCAAGTAATTAAGGAAATCATCTGTAAACGCTTGGAAGGTGGCAAGATGATAGGGAACAGCCAGCATGGATTTGTAAAGAACAAATCATATCAAACCAATCTGATAGCTTTCTTTGATAGGATAACGAATCTTATGGATAAGGGAGAAGCGGTAGATGTGGTATACTTAGACTTTAGTAAGGCGTTTGATACGGTCTTGCATGATATTCTTATCAATAAACTAGGCAAATACAACTTAGATGGGGCTACTATAAGGTGGGTGCATAACTGGCTGGATAACCATA